GCTCTTCAGGGTTCACTTCCAATAGTTTACCCAAGGTGCTCATGGTAAGAGCTGGGTACAGGTGAAGAAACCACCTTGCATAAATTGTAGCTCTTTGGAAAAGGGAAAGTCACTGTGCTAGTTCAAGATTTTGTTCTCTACCCTTGCCATGTAGCAGGCCCCACTTTGCTTCTTTTGCCTTTTATAGCCCTTGGCTTGCCTCCTCTTGCAATGTCCTCATATTCCTGTTCCTGTGATTCTCCCACAGCCTTCTCTCCCCACAGGTCAAACAGATCCAGGATTTCTTTCCTGGTCCAGACAGACACATAGGGTGCAGGTGACAGTCTTCCTCTACATGAAGCCACATCCATCTGCTTGTAGAGGAGAACAAGCAGGGCCGTAAGCATTTCCAAAAATGCTTAGGAGAGGAGGCTTTTTCTAGTCACTGTGACCACATGGCTAGATCTCTTCAAAACTGTGATTGAAGTTGTTACTATTGTGGGAATGGGCATTGTAGGATTGTGGCTGGAGAACTGTTATTAGTGCTGAGACTTGTAATCCAGTGACTACACTAGTTTTGAGCCAATGGCTGTATTGTGCCTTCCAGGGAGTGGTATTACTTGGCTACAAACAGGCTGTGTTTTGCTGGCTCGTACCAAATTTATACATTAGCACATTGACAATAAAACTTCATAGTGTAGACCAGGCCTAAGCTAGGATTTTTAGACTATACTGTATTGCCTGTGCTAAGATGACAGCTGTAAAATGTATTGATTGAAGGTGCACTAACAAAGAGTAATACTGAAACAGGATTGGTAAATAATATATAAAGCATCACTCTTAGTGGTGCAGGTCTGGTGTAACTGAGCACTCTGTAGAAAGAGAGGTTTTAAGAGTGAAAAAGCAAGCTCATCCAACAACCAATTTATCAGCAGTGAAAATCCCTTGTGCTTCCAAGCAGAGATGCTCCGGATGGGGTGGTCTGTAGGGAGGTAGCTGACTGAGCTGTTCTGACTCCTTCTCTTTATTTCCAGCTGTTACAGCACATTCAAGATAGCCACTATACATTAAATGCTTTGCTAATAGTACTGCTCCATGTAAGCAGTAATCATTTTTTCATATATGTTTCTTTCATTTTTAAGTGGATAAATGCATAAATAAAAATCTGTAAAGTAAATAGCAAAGTCCTTTTGTGGGGAAAGGGAGGGACTGTGGGAGACAGGCTGAATATTGGGGTCAGGATCTGGACTACGCAGTGGGAATGGGAATAGATGTGTAGGCTAGGGCAAAGTCCTATCAAGTGCTAAGCAACATCAGGTCCCATTCATATCAGCACCAGTTGAGGATGCTCATCACATTGCAGGGTCAGAACTTAGGAAAGCCAGCAGGGTTATCCACTTCCCAGCCCTGCTCCCTGCTTTATACCCGTCTGCCTGTTTTCTTACCCTCCATGCCGCATCCCAATAGAAGTGCTAAGCTGCAAGCAAGAGTCTCTGTGGTCTGGGACAGACAGTGCATAAACCGGTTTGAACCAAAACAGTTAAGTCTGATACTACTACATTCAACCAGGTTTATCCCAAACTGGTTTTGGCCATTTTCAAACTGGTTTATGTGCACTGAAGGTATGTTCTGTTACAGGTTTAAACCAGTTTCTGATCTTAAACCAGTTTATGTGTAATGTCTGTCCCTAGCCTGTCCCAGCATGACAGACATGCTGACATTTTCTCTCACACTCCTACCCTGTGCACCACATGAGGAGGCTGCAGCAGACCTGCACTCCTTAGACAAAGAGGTCTCCAGTTCCCCTGTACTCTTCTTTTCTTCAGGCCCTGTGTTGTTGGACAGAACCAAAATTCAGTAGAAGTAAGATGGCAAGTTGAAGTGGCCTGAGTAAGGCCACTTAAGCCACTTGCCAGCTCTCCTGTATGGTTGTAACTGTGGTAGGATGCACAGGGATTTCTAACGCAAGGGCTAATGTGCCTGGGAAGTGTGGAGCATGGCATCTTTAAGAGCCTCTCCCAAGAGGCAGCTGGTGAGTGCAGAGGTTCCTCATATACAATGTGGATCAGTTCCAACTTATACCTGGAATAAAGCAAACCTGTCAGGCCCCTTGTCTGTGTTTTCTTGGACAGCACAGTGGGGATGGATGGGAAAGAACCTTAAAAATGCATCTAATGTTCTGGGTTAACTCTTTGAAACTCTGAGAGTGGGTGGTTCTGGTACAGTTCATTAGCATGTATGTTTCATCTGGAAATGGTCATTGAATGTGTTTGTCTCCCACCCAATCACTGCCTGTGCTTCATACAATTCAGGAAAGAAAACACCACACTTCCCAAACAGACTTGTCAAAATGGACCAGTCTGTTCTTTTGACACGCACAAGATGTCATCCACTGACCTGGCTCTAAAAATCTGCCGGTATAACAACCCACATACTAAGTTTCCCCTGCAACACTCATTATTTCTCACTGCGTCTTTAAAGAAGAAAAAAAAACAACTGGTGAAAACATTTCAGTCTGCATACAGTACATTCAGTGTTGTCCTTCCATCTAGATTAAAGGTCACCCTAGCTGCCGGGCGTTAATGCAGATGGTGTGACAACCTTTACTAAATAACCTGTTTTGTTTTGTTTTGTTTTTTTTTACAACAAAAGCTTTTAGCCCCTATAGCAAAAGATTTTTCTAAATCTTAATTTTATTGCATGGCTTAGCATTTACTTAACTAGTTTAAATGAATGGCAGGGCATGGTTTCCGAGATCATGGTTCATAACATGCAAGCAATACGTGCCAGAGGTCTTAAAAGCTATATGCTTTTCCATCCTAAGCTAATGGAAATTCTAACTCTAGAGATGTGTGAAACCAGCTGATTCTCCTTTGTGCTGAAGGGGAAGATCTCTGTGTGCGAGAGAAGAGTGCCCTCTTGAGTACAGAGCAGAGAACATTGCAAAGGCGCTGAAAGAGAGTTTGGGAATTAATATTAACAGCCATCCCCAAGGAGCGGTCTGGAGGTTTACAGTGAGTGCCAACATGAACCAGATCAGACTTTGTACCAGGAAAGATCCCTAGGGAGGCAGAAAGCAGATCTAAATAATTGACAGGGATGCAGGAGCAATGGGCTGCTCCCTCCCTCCTAACCTACCACAATCACACACATTACACTTCACACAGGGGTTTCTGTGTGATCCCAAGAAAGGAGGGGAGCATGCTGGAGAATTGGTATTCCCCTCCTTCCCTACCTATGTTCACACTAGGAGCTTTTAGTAGTAGAAGAACAATTGTACACATCAGCAAAATGTTCATAGTATGGATAGTGTAGCTATACCAGCAAAGCTCCATTTTGTCTTGCTATAGATAAATCATCCCAACAGGCAAAGCAAAGCAAGTTACTGGTAAAACACACATGGTTTCATTGATGTAGCTGTATCTCCAGCACAGATTTGTGCTGGCACCATTATGTCAGTCAGGGATCCCACCTCTTCACACAAATTAACCTAGCTGTGCCCAGCAGAAGCCTGTAAGAGAAACAGCCCATGTCTTTCTATTCGCTTTACAAGAGTACAATGTCCATGGTCAGTGAGTCTGTCTGGTTTTGGCCTCATTAAGTTTAGAGATATTTTCTAGTTTTCATTATTACAGTACCAGCCCACTTCAGGAATGTTTTAATTCAGCTTTATTTATTTATTTATTTACTTATTTTAAAAACCGCAGCTCAATGATTTTAACAAAATGCAGCACAGTACTATAGTTAACAAAAACCATGCAAATATTTGGACTTGTAAAAGTACAATTTAAAAAATCCCTTATTGCTCTTGTGGTCTTTCCCCTCAAGGTATAAATATGAGGCTTAAAAGGGCTGAAACTTCATATGAATTTTCATTTAGAGCAATAGAATAAAGAAGATCACAGAACTGTGACTGTGAGAGCCAAAGGTGCACATATCAGGGGAAGAATATGGCCCATAATTTATTGGAAAAGAGAAGCTTCACTTATCTGGCTGCCAGGCTGAGATCTGTGTTATAATAAGCATTTCATAATAATAAGATGGAGGTTACAAATTCCTGGAGCTAACAGTCAGATTGCAGCAATTTTATATCAGGGGAGCTTTCATCTCAACTACAGTACTGTTACCATAAGAGAGCCATAACTTTGTGCTGTTATAAACAGCCAAAATGCTTATAAGTGAAGGAGCAACGCTAAAAAAATAATCTGTTATAAGTAACTATTGTCTTTTTCCTCACCTAGTGGAGAATGAAAGGTGCTCGATTCTGGAACATCCCTAATATTTAGCACAGTAAACTGAAAATAAATGTGATCTTGTAGTATTTGGTGACACCATTTACATCCTGGATAAGTGAGTAGTTGTTGAAGCCTTAGAACAGAGCCTCAGCAGTACCATACGTATCCAACCAACAAAAGCCAGGGAGATAAATTAATAAAAGTTCTTCCTGGAATAAAGGTTTATGTTCAATCTGAAGGATGCAAGCATACTTCAAAGTTCAGGTGCAGATTTGGATTGGAGCCTCACTGCGTGTTTGGCAAAGGTAACCATGACCTATAGATTCAGATCCCAGCTTTACTAGAGTTTGGGTGGAACCAGACTTAGGGCTTCAGGTTTGGCCACTCCCCAAGGCCCGACTTTATGCATCCTGGACCCATTCTGCTAGGTACTGAGTATATCAATACCCATTAACTGGGACTTGAGAGCAGTTTGCATTTAACAGGAAGTTTTACCATTGACTACCAAGGAAACAGGAGGATATCTTTGCTTTGTACTGGTTCCTAGTTTGGTCACATTGCTTTGCTCTGTAACAGTGCTCTTAAGAAGTTGAGAATTGTAGCTGTCTGTCAGCATCTTGGCTGGGAATTTCCTGATGTTGTAGTGGTTATTTAACCTGAACTTTGCATTACTAAAGACTCCTTTTAGGAAGGGGAATAGACAAAGTCTTTAATAGATTTTTGGGAGCAGGCTGCAGGAGATTAATTTTTGGCTCTCAATGTATATATTTGGTTTTTTAAAAAAACAAAAACAAAACAGGATTCTGCCATGGCGTTAAAGTTGCAGTGATTGAGGGCTACAGCATATTTGCTTGGCAGTAGAAAATGTAGCTGACAATTCCAAGGGACTTAAAAACCAGAAGAAGGCTAAAGTAACATTCTTCCCATGGATTCTATTATGGGGTGCAATGTTTGATAATGAGGGAGAGCAGACATCCAAAAAGCGAATACAGCCTAACAGCTCTGACAATGCCAAGTCCTACAGTGATCTAACACATCCACACCTAGAGGCCATTCTTCACTGGTATCAGCTCTCAAAACTCATTTTCTACTTCTTTTTACAGTCTTCTCCTATATTTCATTGAGATAATCCTGGTCAGGGTATATCAGAAAGCCGGTAAATAAGCTGTCTGTCCAGTATGGATCATAAAAGAGTCCGTTTTGTTCTGAGTAGAAGATCTGCAACCACACCTCATCCTCCTGCTTCAGGGAGAGAATGGTTGAACCAGAGGCAATATCATGATTACCCGTGTTGGCATCAAAGGTCTTTATTCGGTACTGTCCATTGTGAACCAACCCAATGGCCAAGTGTTTATTGGCCAAAGTGATGTCATAAGTAAAGTAGTAAATACCGGGAATGCTGCATATAAATTTCCCACTGGAAGCATTATAATGCCCTCCTTCATTCATGATGATCCTGTCAAATTTGATGGGTAGCCTCTCTCTTGGGTAGCTTTTTGTGACTGCGACAGAAAAAGCAGATTTGGCTTTATTAGCACCACAGCTGCAAGGACCTGGCATTCCAGTATCACCCTTGTTCCCTTTGGGTCCTTTCTTCCCTGGGGCTCCATTTTTCCCAGGATTTCCCTTCAGACCCTTTGGACCTCGCAGACCTGCTTTGCCGATGCCTCCTGCTTTGCCCTTTGCTCCTGGTTTGCCTGGGTTCCCTGTTCGGCCCTGTGGTCCTGGAAGACAAATTGCCTCCTGTGAGTTTTCAGTGAAAGATAGGAGGAGATTGTTATCATTACAGCAATAAATTATTATATGGGAAGAAAACAGCAATAACTTCAATATAGAGACAGCTCTGATGACATTCTACCTGGGGCTGGATGGCTGCCCTGGCTGATCCATCATGTTAGTTTTTCTAACACAAATGTTATAATGTACCTTATAACAAAAGATTCCTGTAAAAAGTGCCCTGCCCCTTCAATGGCAAAGAGCCCTGAGCGCCAGTGATATTAATCTATATTGTATATTCAGTTAATAGACACAGCCTCATACAAATATTCAGTTGCTCCTGGGAGAGTTGCTGCTTTCCCAGAAGAAACCATGAGTGTACAGATATTCAGGTTTTTTCTCCTAGTGTAAAAATGGCTGCTCCAGGAGAAGAATAACCTGGGAACAACCAGAGATAAATCACTCCTAGGAGAGTTTCTTCTGGGAGAGCAAATGTCTGTACATGCTGTGGCTTCTATCAGAAGAGACGATGGTCCTCCAGCATTCTCCACGCCCCCATCAGGAAGACTGCATCACTCACTGGACTCTGCTGCTCCACAGGGAGCAAGAATATGTCCCTTTTACAATCCCCACATTGTGCTGCAGGGAAACACAGGCTGACTATGGGCAATCTGGGGTCAGCCAATCTGGGCTGCCCTATACACTGCTGTCATATGCTAGGCAGACTAAGGGAGCCTGCAGAGCATGCCGAGATATGTGCACAGCCCCGTGCCCTCCCTGCCCGACCAGCTGCACAGTATAGGTATTGCACTTTCTCCACTCGTCAGGGCCTCAGTATTCAAATGTATATACGTGGGGCTCTGGGTATGTTTCTTTACCAGGAGAACAAACCTAGGAAAAGTCTCCCAGATTATTTCAATGCATGTACTTAGCTAATAGGTTAATTTATGAGAGAGCTGCCAGTAGGGTGTGGATGTCAACAGAGGGTCCTGAACCAGGCTTAGCCTTTTGATATTGTACCACATTATAAGGGGGCTCTTTTTGTTATTTTAAGTTTTATGTTGAAGAATGAATCTGTGCCCTACAAAGAAATTTTGGATACAGTAGTGAGTCCTTCCTGGGTTAAGGAGATAAGCCAGCTACTTCCATGAGTACAAGCAAGTGCTTAAATGGGGTGCTGAAGGTGAAAAGATAAATTGCCTTGAAACAGCGGGGAAACTGAGGCAGCAGCTAGCATGAAGCTATATTAGGTAGGTGGTGCTGCCCATAAAGCCTTTCTTGTTCCCATTTTAAAAGGAGTTTAAGTTCCTACTGCTGGAAGGGGAGCCTTTCCTCTTTATCCATGTATAATGATAATGTAGTTTTCCCTCACACTGTCTAGTTTACATGCCTGATTCACAATGGGAGGAGATCAGCTCCATGACTGGGAAAAGTTCAGTCTTCAAAGCAATCTGGTGGTTGCATCTCTGCTGAAACTGCCAATCAGTACTCTATCCCAATGGACAGGAGCGTTTGATGCCGCTGCTACTTTATATAAAATAGAGGTAAATCCTTATTTCATAGCTCACTGGAGCAGCTTTCAGATAAGTCACTGAAATCCTGTTGTGATGTATGGCGTCCCTACTTCCTAACCAGGGAGATACATGCAGTGACTTAGTGCTGAACAGTATTATTAGCAACAGTGTTATACTTAAATAATGTTAGTGTACTCCAGCAAGATAGCTGTGACTCTTTTCAGAAATAATCAGTCTGCTACTCATTTGCGCTAAAGATTTGCTTAAATGAGACAGGTGTACGAGAATGTGAATTTTTAAAGCTGCATAGTCAAGCTGGAAAAAATAAGGGGATGAGAAATGGTGCGTGTGGATGCATTTCAGTTTAGATTAATTTGATCAAGAAGAAATCTAAGCCAAACCATATTAGGTGCTGGTGCATATGTATGAATTAGAGGTAAAATGGTAGAGAGGGAGCTTTTGCTGTTTGTCAGTTATTGCCCATGTATATTTTTCTAATAAGTGGTAAAAGAAAGCCAAACTCTAGTAGTATAAACACTTTCCCTTTGAAAATGGCCATACTACTTGGATGGCCCCATACTACTAGGATGGCCATCCCAAAGGAGGATGACCTCTGTCTCTCTGGACTAAGCTTCTATAGTTTGCAGTTAGGTTTCATCTACTAGCAGTAAAAGTGTGGGTGTAGGCCTGGTTGGTCTAAAAAAAAAAGGTAATTTTCTCATGTAGAAAAAACCTAAAGTCCTTTTACATCACTCAAGCAGTGTAAAAGGGCTTCAAAGTTGATGCAACTTGCTCATAATTCAAGGACACCTCATACTACCCACATAGCATGAAGGGGTCTTGATATAAGAACTAGGCCCATGTTTTTTCAATGCTTTGGGGGGTTACTACAGCATTTCAAAAAGCAGTGTGCCAAAACTAATGTGAAGCAGCTCATGCAGATTCAGCAGCTCAGAGAAGGAGCTCGCTGGCTTGGGAAAGTCAAACGCTAACATTCTTTTTTGTGTCACTTCCCTTCGAGATGGCAGAATGGACATCAGGGCTGTGTCTGTACTAGGTGTTCTGCCAAAAACAGTAAAACACTTCGGGAAATGATGACAGTAGAAAACCTCACCTCAGACCTTATGGGCAGGCATGTAAGAACTGCCGTCTGTGATTCTTTTATCAAGATCAATAAATTTACCAGCTGTTGAATACAGTTAGATCATCAGTCAAAACACCCAGATCACTGTTTGATCTGATCCTCCATTTAATTCGAGAAGAACCTACAGAATCAGACTCCCTGCATATAAGATTTAAAAAAAAAAAGAAAAACCTCCCATCCATTAGTTTGATAAGTTTCAGCTGCTTTAGACAGAGGCCCTTAGACCACCTATTCTCTGGGTACTGCATCTGAATCAGATCTGAGCCACATGTTGGGGGCTGCTGAGTGTGGGACTGAGCTAGAAAGATAGACTGGAACTTCCAAGTTCAGATGGTCCTCTGAGCTCTGAACCTTTACATGGGGGCCTCCACGAGGATAACGGAAAGATTTAATGTTGCTCTAAGAAATAACTTCCTCTTACCTTCATCTCCTGTCTCTCCTTTTTCCCCATCTTTTCCATCCTTTCCATCTTTTCCTGGGAATCCCATTCGCCCAACTGTTCCTGTAGATCCTGGTGCTCCAGGGATGCCTGGAGGTCCCTGCGGTCCTGGCATGCTGCACAGGAGCTGTTTGGAACCTTCCTGAAATTCTCCTTTAACAAAGCCACTGAGAATGTGATTAGCTACACAGGGCATGGTCCAGATGAGAAGAACCACAGAGATCATGGTGCAGTCTGTTATGAGGAAACACAGAGGTTTATTAACATATGGCAGACCAGCACACATGCAGAAGGATCCCAGCCATCTGACAGTGAGTGTGGCAGGTGCTGCTACAGAAATCAAGGCTAGTTAGAGAAGAGTGAAGTGAATCAGGTGATGGAACAGATCCAGATTGAAATGGATCCTCAATATTAACAGTCCTCCTACCCTTTCCTTCCTATAATAAGAATGTCTGAGGCTTAACTCTCTCTTCTCTCATGACTTCTGTATTGCAGCGCTGTTCCTTATCTGCTGCAAAATCATCCCTAACTGGGGATTTATATCTGGCTCCCAGGCATGAAGGAAGGAGAGCTGAGGGTAGGCAGGAAAGAACACAGAAAGTGCCATTCATTATCTGTTTCTTCAGACCCTTGTTTCCCCCTTCCCCTCTCCCTCTTTTGTATTCCACTGTTTTCACCTCCAATACAAACTGAAATGTAGTGTAGTGGTGGAATGAGGACAAAGAGTTGCTGTAGATTACTAAAGTCTAAATTTGTAGCACTGGTCTCCTGTAAATATCTTCCTCAATCAAGACTCTAAAGAGGTAACTCCTGAACATAGGTTCTTGTGCTCTCAGCAGTCCTTGTTAGTGTGGTCAAAAATTCGACCTCCTTTCACTGAAAAGTAGACTGAGATCTCACTTCCTCTGGCTAAGCAAAGATGTTCGTCCAGCCTTCTCCTTCCTTAGGTTTCCATCAGTACCAGCCTATGGCAAGCAGAGAGCACTCTGATGCACGTTATTAGGCTATAAAGTCTTTCACTCTGCATGTAAGCTGCAGCTGTCATCTTGCAGCTGTCAGTGCTGGCAGGAGATCAGTGACATTCTTCAGTACTTTATTCTCTGCCTCTTCATTCCCGCCCCCACCAGGATCCTCCCATCTAGCCTTACCTCCCTTATAGTTTCATCCCTGCCTTCCTAAGCTTACACCAAGTTGTCTCACTTATTGTCACGTCCCCATGTTGTTTTAAGCGTTCTAGTTCAAATCTCTCTGGAAACTTGTATATCTGATTAAAATCCAAACCCTGTTTTTCTATATTTTGTTTTCCCTGACTTCTGTACTGAGGTCAAGTTAACTCTTTTGTTAGTCCTTGGAATCCCACTAGCTAATATGGTGTTTTATTGAATGGCCCTGGTACCAGGAATTACTGCGTCATAAAAACAACTGATATGAAGTATAATAAATAACAATTTTTACTATGATTTCTTAAAATATTTTGGTTAGGAAGGGTTCTGGATTCTGATTCCCTTACTACTTACATAATAATACTACTCATGGAGTGAAGTGCTACTTACAGTGTTGACATCTAAATTCCTACCTAACCCTATAAACATCTACAATTAGGTGGCAGCTAAGTCACAGTTTTAAGGGGGTCAGTGATGCCCAAACTGTTGAGGATCTGAGTCTGTATATAGGTTTTCCAAGGTCACACAGGAAGCCAGTGGTGGAGCAAACTTGAAGTCAGGTCTTTCAAATCCCAGCCTAATCATCAGACTGTTCTTCGTCTCTGTTCATGCACTGGATGTCAGGTATGAAATTAAGTTCCATATCCTCAGCTTCACTCTTGGCCCTGAAATAACACAAGCTGCTACCAATATCTTAGTGCTTATCATTATGCTTGGGGAATGCTGCTGGCTGGCAAGGCACTGCCTTTTCACTGAAGAGATTCAAGATGAGCTAACACCAGTAACATTCTAAAAAACGAACATTATGCTTCATATGTTATAAAGTAAATAGTTAATTACTTCCCCTCCCCACCCCAACTTCTATCTCAGTTTCTGAATAATTAAACACTGAAGAGGCTCCTGAACCAGTCCTCTAGATATGAACATCTGTCTATGCTGAAGTTGGCTGTTTTTGACTGCCCATCGTGTGGACATAGAGCAGGACGTTGCAGAACGATCACGAGTGTTCTCAGCAGAACTAGAGAGCACTACAGAGTGTCTGGAGCCAAGAGGCAGACTTTTTTTTCCTCTAAAAATAGAATAAATGCTTTCTGTTTATATGGCAAACCACAAGCTGAAAGAGAATACTAGTAAAGTCAAAATACTTTCCCAGCTTATTTTTAAAAAGAAAACCAGAAGCCACCATTCTCCTATCTTGGATCATCTTGAGCAGTATGTACTCCCAGATAGGAGAATGATGGCCTTTATCACTGATAATAATATTAGTGATAAAGGCCACCATTCTCCTATCTGGGATCATCTTGAGTAGTATGTACTCTAGTCCTTTCAGCTAGACGGTATCACAAGCAGCTATTAGATCCATCAACACAGTACTTGCTTTTCCCCTTCTTTGAAAAGCATCTTCAATGTCTTGAGCAAGCCTTACTACCTGGTCAGTGGTTCATCTACTTTTGTGGAACCCTGCCTGTTCTGGTGGGAACAGTGGAACAATGATGTCAGTTATCCTATTTAGGACCAGTTTTTCCAGTGGTTTTGTAGGCAACTGATAGCAAAGATATTGGTCTGCAGCTATCAGGGTTGTTGACATTTTTGCTTGGTTTGGGTCATGCAATCATGTGAGTACATCTCCAGTATTTGGGTATTTTGTTTCTTCTTCTCTCGCATACTTCATTTCCCCTTCTACACATCATTAATATGGTGGAGCCACACAACTACTTTATCATTGATGCTTGCCAGGTCCTCATCCTGGGTGTGTGGGTAAGCTGTATATGTGAGGAGGTGGTCAGCAATCACCACACTTACACCTTGGTCCTCACACAGATCCTTCATCCTCTCCACCAGTGGAGGAGATAGAAACAGATACAAGTGTCTGTGTAATGGGGTACCACAAGTATCAGTGCTAGCACCCACCCTTATGAACATCTATATATCTGACCTTCCACTCAGCACAGGTACACCTACACAGATGACTTGGCCCTGTCCACCTTCGACGAGTCCATCCCAGACATAGAAAATGCATTGTCTAGGATATGAATACATTAGCCTCTTACGTGCATCAATAGATCTGGAGTGAGGGGCACCAGCAGAGCTGGTGGGGGGGATGGGGTACTATGGGAGGTTGGGAGTGAGGGGCAATGGCATGGGCATAGGCAGGGCATTGGCTTACCAGGGCTGCTCAAAGCCACAAAGCAGGAGGAAGGAGGTAGGAACAGCTGCAGCTGGACCCACATCCTAGTGAGCAAAGGGGCCAGGGGGATCTCTGATTTTCTATGATAAGAAAACCAAAATCAAACACCAAAATATATAGGAATTGAGAATGTATTTTATTATAATGATTGAGCCACTGGTAGGCTTTCAAACTGCTTTAAAATTGTAAATGTAACATCCACACACACTGGGGGTTGTGTGTGGTAAAGTGTGTGCTTCTGGTTGTTGTATATTGTGGGAGGGTTTTGGGACTGGAAGAGGACCACTTCCCTCCCCCTTCATTGTGTCCAGACTATTGTCTTAAGACTCCTTAAAACAGGGGCGGCCAACCTGAGGCTCTGGAGCCACGTGCGGATCTTCAGAATACAAATATGAGTCTCCTTGAATCTTTGCACAAGCACACAGTGACCATTTGGAAGCTGGTCAACGTGTGTTTGTGCAAACATAAAAAGGGATGTATATTAACTTCTGAAGAGCTGCAGGTTGCTCGCCTGCCCCCGGCCTTAAAAGAACCTATAAAGCCAATTTAGTGACTGTGGCCAGATCCAGGAACACTGACTATCTTTGAATTGATTGGTCTGCATTATCAGTGTTCAAATGATGGTGTTTCTTGATTGGGACCCTGTGATGATGTCAAAAGTTATTTAAGGTTCAAGCCACCCGAGCTGGGGTCTCTTTCTCCTAGGGCTGCTGAGACGTGGAGAGCTGAATTGGGAGTCAGAAAACCTGCTCCCCATGGGGGGAGGGTCTCCCCCACTTCAGTGGAGAAGTAAACTGAAGCTATGTGAAGGGAAAGCCTCAGGTACAAGGAGAGAAAGTCTGTTTCAGGGCTTGAGACCCCTGTTCTCTCCCTCTTTCCCCTTTTTTTTTTCTCTGGGTCTTGAGTGGGATTGATGCCGGGGGGGTATCAATCCCTGCAGCAAACTAGCCAAGGTTGGAGCCTGGCAGTTTTGCTGGCATGCTCTGGGCCAGGGCTGAGAGCCTGGCATGTTTTAATTGCTGTTGCAACTTGTTTGGGTTCACCTGAATCCCAGCTGCGTATCTTGCTGGCAGTTTTGGCCTTGAGTGGGGTGATACCAGGAGTGTATTATCCCTAGTCCAGGCTGACCAAGAACGGGGTCCTGGCAGGTACTAGCGCCCTGTATTGGGAATTGTAGTGTTTCAGCACTGTGGTACAGCTGAGATTGGATGTCCAGGCTGTAGCCATAGGCCTGGGCCTTTTTTCCTGTTTCACAGCTGCTGCATGTCAGCCTAGTTGTGTGTCTGAACCCCAGCCACATGTTTGGCTGGCAGATTTGGGCCAGGCTGAAGCCTGGCATGGTTTGAGCCAGGGTGAGACCTGGCACTTCTTGTTATTTATCCAGGCCTCAGTGCAGTATAGGTCTGGCTGCTTCTGCTGACCGATCCAGGCCCAGCGAGATAGTCCAGGGTCTCCTTTTGTCCCTTTTGTAGTTTATGCCCCAACCAAGCGGTGTGGTTGGGTGCTAGATGTAGTTCAAACCCAAGCCAAGATAGGCTTAGCCCTTTTTTGTTGTTTCATAGCTGTTAGGTCTCAACATAACAGTGTAGCTGAGACTAAATGTCCAGGCTGCAGCTAAATAGGCCTGGTGCTCTTTTGTTGTATGTTCAGGCCCTGGTGCAGGACAGGCCTGAGTCCCCCTTCTTTTGTTTTACAGCGGTTGTGTCTCAGCCTAGCTGCGTTGCTGAGCCCTGCTGTATGTTTGCTGCATGTTTGGGCCTGGCTTGGGGCCTGGCACAGTTTGGGCCTGGCACATGTTGCTTTTGTAGCTCTTTGTCCTGACCAAGCAGTGCGGTTGGCACTGGTTGCTGCTCAGGCTCTTTTGCTGTTTGGCTGGCTTGTCT